CCCCAAAACCCCAAAACCCCAAAACCCCAAAACCCCATTATTAAAATTCATAATGAAATATTGTTGATATATTTGAAATATGGGTACAACTGACAGCAAAGAAATTGTCAAGAATGACCCCAGGTTTGAGGATAGTGAGTCCCAACAAAATGTTCATGCTCCAGGCCCTTCACGGCAAAGTCCTGAAGAAGAGAAATCGTATATGAAATCAAAACCAAATCATGAGCTAGATGAAGAGACTAAATATAGCCAATATGAGACTCCTGGTAAGTTTCAGAGCAAGAGAAATCAGGTATTCACTGGTATGACTCGAAGAGTCCTGAAGAATAAGGAGAAGTATTCTTCAAGCAAGGAGAAGGCTCATATGTCAAAAATTCAGGGAAGCTATGGGCAATATAAAAATGTTGATACGGATGGAATCGAGTGGGTCAAGAAAGAGGAAATTATAGACACTAGGCTAATTTCATCAAAGCCTCATGGCTCAAGAGCGCCAAAAGGGAAATTTTCAGGCACAGGATCATCAAATAGGACTTGGAAGGCAAGAAGTGGGGTGACTATTAATTTGCCACCCAAAGCTCTTGCTACTATTTTGAGTTATGATATGGCAAGTTACAGAAAGTATATGAGCGTATGTGCTGATTGGCATGTTACCATCAAGGAAGCTCTTGACCAGCATTTCAATAGGGTTGAGACCGAATTTGTGTTAAAGTATTACCAAAATTTGCTATTCACAGAGTCATTCACATCCTCATCAGAGATTAAATTTTGAGGTAAAAGAGGTATCAGGATTGATCGAGTTATGGTCTGTGATATTCTAAACCTCAAAGATCATCTAAACAAGACACTAACTATCGGATATACCTTCAGCTATTATGGTGAGCCAAAGGAAAAATAAGTTCAAAGCCGAATATAGAATTGATGTATGCAAAAAGAGAAACAGGATGGTCTGGATGCATGTCGATAGAGAAACTGGTTGTACCTACCAGCAAACAATATTCCAATCTTGTCCTGAAGACAAAATAGAATTTGCACTGAGTTTTTATTCTCTCAGAGGACTAGTTGATGTAGATAGTATTGAGTGGAATGATCCACAGATCTCTAAGACACCAAAGACCAACACTCTGAGCTATAATAAGGATATGATGGAGATCGCCACTGATGATCGAGCTATAAAAATATATGCTGACATCAACAGAGTATGAGAACTGGAAGATACGGTTGTTGAATGGTATGAGCAGAAATATTATGAATACAAATCAGAGATAGTTGATTTCTCCTTCCTACAAGATTTATTCCAAATCAATTGAGTTGAGTACTCTGGTGTAGATAATAAAGTGGTAAGACTCCACACTAAAGCTATGAAGGAAGGGTCTCTTCCCTTTGCACACTTTGGCCTCGGAGTTATTATCAAGAATCAGAAGGATATTATAAGAAATGAGGTAAAAAGGAAAGGCATACTGTCAGAAAGAGAAAAGGATATCGAACTAAGAGTGGGCGATGAGTTTATAATATACATTACTAAGGCAAAATCTTCGGAGAAATAAGACCTCTAGAATGGAAATATTTAATTCTTAACTGGCTTTCTAATAAATTCAACTTCTAGGAGCCAATTAGGGGTTTTGGGGTTTTGGGGTTTTGGGGTTTTGGGG